GGGGCGCAGGCCCTGGCTGCAGGCCCCGCTCAGCATCTGCGCCGGGTGGGGGAGACCTGGGGGGGGGCTTGCCTCAGTCTTGGTTTCTCTTTCCCCTCCCATTTCAGCATTCGTACCCCACAGCCTGAGCGGAACCCCCCAGCCTTTACCGGGAGGCTTTGCCTGTACACCTGCCCTGTCCTTCTGTGTTTTGGGTCAGGGTTCTCCCCGCAGCACCCAGCCTGGCCCTGGTGACCCCAGCCTCTTCCAAATCAGGGCTAGTCCTTGCTATGTCCATTGGCGCTGCTTTGTGTCACATCTCGAGGTACTTGGTGATCCCTTTGCCTTGCTTTATCCTGTATTTTTAATGGTGATTGATGGTGGGGGGGCAGCTGAGGGCTTATAGTGAATGGGGGAAGAAGGGACAGCAGCAGGAATCAGGAGCCAGAAACAGGCTCGAGCGTGGCTGGGGCTGCATTTTGCAGAGGCCAAACCTTTTTAACTGACCACCAGTCACTTGATGTGATGCACGCCAGGTCTCCAGAGTGCCAGTTCACCCCAGAAGGTACCAGAGCCTCTTACACGAAGGGAAAAAAAAAATCCCCCCCATGCCTATGAGAGAATGCAGTGGTAGTTTTTGAGCTGCAGCCCTGGGGGATTTCAGGGCAATCACAAATGTAGCGCTGGGTCAGAGCAGAGTCCCTGGGGAATTTGGGGGCAAGTGAGAGTGGGGGGCTGGAGCGAGGCCCTGGGGGATTTCAGGTAGCTGAGAGCGCAGCACTGCATGGGAGTATCTGCCCCAGTGGCTGCGGCAGCTTGGCATGCCGTGCCCATTCGGATATAGCTGCTGCTCCTCTGCACCCCGCTGCAAACGTGGAGATTGAGAAGCATCTGGTAGAGAAAACAGTAACAGAAAAGGAAGTGGGAAAATAAGCTGCTGTGTCTCAGCACCGCCACCTTTTCTGCTTCTCTGCTTTTGTTTTATATAGAATGGCTCTGAATTTACTAAGGTTGGCAAAATGCTTAAAAGCAAAGCAGGGTTTTTCTCTCCTAAGGTTTGGGCCTGCGAGAGGGAAAACCTCTCCCCCTTTGGCTGGCTATCTGTGAGGAACGGTTTCTGCTGCAGCCGGAAAGGCAGAGGAGCAGAGAGGGTAGTTGCAGGGTTCCCCAAACAGACAGGAAGATGGGAGAATGCCTCTGTACCAGCACAAAATGCCTGTGACACAGATCTTCAGATCTCATAATTGTTTCCTATTTCCTGAGTTCTTTCAGCTTCCTAAAAACTGAAGCCAAGACATGCAATGCAGTTAAGTGACATCCGAGTTACCCCACAGAAAAACGTCAAGGGCTGCTAGCTGACAGACGGCAGACGATGAGCCAGCAGCAGGAACCAGCAGCAGGAGCCTGCAAACTTGGTGTGGGCAGAGCAGCATTCTTCATGCTTGAATGCATTCATTGATCCCAAAGGGATCTCCTTGTGCGAGTCCCACGGGATGCCCATGAGGTGGGCAAGGAAAGCACTCTCCATCAGGGAGCACCTCCAGCTCTGAGATGGTGCAGAGCAGTGTTGCAGGTTGCAGTCACCCCACGGCATGAGGAGGCAGGTACAACCTCTCCCCATTTGCAAGGATGGCCTTCTGGTGCTAAGCCATGCAAAGAGTTAAAGACTCACCCTGTTGCACCTTTCTGGGGTTTTGTTGTGTTGGTTGGTTTTTTTTAATAAAAATTTAAGCTGCAGTGCACCAATGGCTATGATATGCCTCCTGGAAAGTACCACCTTGGAACAGCCTGCTGACATGCCCCTGCCATGTGTTGGACACTGTGGTTAGCACTTGCTTAGACTCAGAATTTTCCTTCATATTCATCTGGAAAAAACGGGTAATTCTTTCTGACTAAAAAAACCGTGCCTTTCTAGATAAGCCGAGTGTTGAGGGCTCCTATTTGGAGGGGCTGCGAAGGGTAACATTGCAGCTCTGGAGCTATGTACTGGTTTAGACCCTGTGAGACATTTCCTCACATGACACCTTCTGGTCAAGAGCTGGAAGAAGGTGAACATTAAAAATGCACAGTGCACCCTCGTAAACATGGCAGTGCCTCTCTGTTCTAGATCCTATGGCTGAATCCAAAACAGGACTGCAAGGGAACATCTGGAATTCTCATTTTTCACCTCCCCTATTCATCTTCTCTTTGCCCCCTACGTTCAAAGTTGGCTTTCCACAGGATCTTCTGGGGCCCTCAACCATGTTCATTTTGAACTAGTCCCACATCTTAACAGTCTCTTATTCTTTTAATAGCACTTTTTTCTCTCTAAGGACAGCAGGCACTTTTTTGAGTGGGTAATATTTCTGGGCTTACTCTAATTCTCCGTCTCCAGGTGCATGTCTCACCAGTAAATAATAACACGCTATAAGAGGGTCATTCAAAGCAGGGGCAGCAAACGCCACATGAGGTCTGCTCGGGACCTGGCTGCTACAATTGCTGGTGAGGTAGTGGTGCATGACCCTGCATGCATGAGCGAGGGAAACGCTTGCCATTGCAGGATGCTCAGAGCTGCTGCGCTTGCTTTCTTCAGCTAACTCTGGGGGGGTGGTGACCCTCACCTGTTGCCTGACTTCACATGTAATGACATGGGGGGCAGAGGGGGAGGCTCACCTCTGAGGCACAGCCAATTCAAGGTGGTGGGAGCCTTGTCTGTAAACACTGGGGCGAAGCCAGTCACAGACAAACTTTTGCCTAGACATGGGATCATTGAAGGAATAGTGAGAGAAGTTTTGTAGGGCTTATCTGAAGAAAGTTTTGAAAATGGCAGCAGAAGACATGCCTCTGGGTGACCAACTTGGGTTTAGGGAATACTGGACTTTGGCCTCTCATTCAAGAAATCAGACTTCATTGAAGAAATATCTGCCTTTTTCTTTCCAGGCTTGCTTCCTTGCACAAACTGTCTGAAAATGCGTCTGGCTCACTGCGCAGGACGAAACAGTGGAAAATTGGTCTGATCTGTTCATAGTGGCATCTACCACTCTCCTCAGGATGCTTCCAAAAGGCCTCTTTAACACAGATTTTAAAAGAAAAATTTAAAAAATACAAAACCCCTGCACCGAGTCTAACTGTTTCAAATAACCATAATCTGCAGGGTAGAAGATAAGCAGGTTAATTACTTTACCACAGAGAGTCACTGCAACATTGCCTTGGGACAAGCAGCATGGTCAGTGTCACAGGGAACATCTCCTGGGTGAGCTAAGGGCTGTGATCATGTCTCCCATGTCCACATCTAGCAAAAGGAACTGCAAACTCATCTTTGCTGCCCCTCCATTAGGTTTATAGCTGGCATGTTCGTAAATAGGAGCGTGTGGGGACAGAGACCTCCCAAGCAGGCTGCAAGTCCTGCTTTCAAGCCTGGGGACATCAGTGGAGCAGTCCTGTCCAGCTCCTGTGGACCTGGGGTTTGGCTCGAGCGGTGACTCCGAGGCACCAGAACTGGCAGGCCCGTTGATCCTTGATGTAAATCAAGTGACATTTTCATTTCCATTTGTGTGCCAGTGCTGGCACTGTGCTCCCTACCTGCAGGGTGATAGTGTCTGCAGGCCTGCTTTGCTGTCCCTTCTGCCACTTTTTTTCTATGATCTTCTGACAATTGTGTCCATGTCCTTTTTTGAACATATCGGGGCAGGGGGACTGGGGGACCCCATCAGAGGGGAGTCATGCCTGCAGGCAGAGGAGCCCACCAAGCCTGCCTTAAAACTACTGTCAACTCACAGCCACCGGCAGGCTAAATTTGGAGAGTCTTGGCACTTGCCAATGAAAATAAACCCTAGTGGGATGTGGTGGGTTAAACGTGGCCAGCTGCTTGGCGATGGGCGGGGAGGAGGTTTCATCATGCTATAGGTTTTGAGAGGGTTACTTTTGCTGAATTGCAGAAGTAAAATGTTTGAAGTGTTAAATGTGTTTTCTGCTTTGAGGGCAGGTTTCTTCTTTCTGTTGGAAAAGATAAGGTCTGGGAAACATAATTGCAGCCTGTGCTGTTTCTAGGTGTGTCAGGTGTGAGGAATGTGAAGAACAGCCACAGGAGAGGGAGTTTAGCCTTCTGGGACAGAAAGTACAGTGTGTCTTGCAGTCTCAGATGTGGATATACTGAGGCTCCTGGTATTGCAACAGCAGCAGATGTGGCCAAGTGTGTGTGGTTCATACAGGCAATGTGTGCTTTCACACTATAGTGGAGGAAAATTAACTACTGGGCTCCTCCAAAAACTACTGCTCCTCTTTCCCTCCAGCTTTCCCTCCTCCCAGCTGCATGCATCTGCCTCCTGCTATGATGGTCATCTGCCTGCTGCATAAAGCCTATTTGGCCCTCAATCCTGCCAAAATAGAGTTAGGTGAAGGTCAGTAGCATAAAAATAAGGGTGGGAGAGGACCTAGGCTGGGGA